GGGCTGGGCTGTGTTGGGCTCTGCTGGGCTGGGGCTGGGCTGGGCTGTGCTGTGCTGGGCTGGGCTGGGCTGGGCTGGGCTGGGCTAGGGCGATTTGCCTGGGACACGGGCCCTCCAAGACTGTTGGCTCCTGCCGCTCCGTGGGCGACAGTGCTGACCCAAACGGTTGTCAGCCCTGGCAGAAGTGTGAAGTCCGTGGCAAAGCTTCCCTCTAGCCCCGCTGAAGCCAAAGCCAAAGTCAGCTGCCGCGGGCCACCACTCAGAGGGTTCTAGACCTTGGTGCCCCTGTGAGACCTGCCTCTCCCCCGACCGAGGAAACACAAGAGCTGCACTCTCGTGGGCTCCTGCACAGATACTTGTACAAGGCACTGCGGGGCCGACGGGTGCGATCTGGCGGAGCTGTTCGGAAAGGAGCGGCCCTCGGGGCAGAAGAAGGGTAGTGTCCTGGCACGTCTGAAAGGAGCAGCCTGGACTGGGGAGGGACTGGAGTCTGGGGAGGCCGGGCCAGGGTAGCCGTCCCAGCTCGGGCCAGGGCAGAAGGCTGGCAGCAGGGAGCCCCTGGAGGCTGCCCGGTGGGAAGGGAAGGCATCGGTGGTGTGTCAGCGGGGCCCGCCGGCGGCAGCGAGCAAGAACAGAGCAACAGGACGGCCAAGGCCGGAGCAGAGCTGAGGGGAGGAGTCCAAGTGCCCCTGAGGGAGAGCGACACCACGAAGCTGATGTCCCATGTGTGCCCCGGGGTGCCTACTCTGTGCCCAGCACGGAGACCCCGCGGAAACCCTGGCATCTGGAAGGGAGGAAGGGCCCTCCACTGCTGCCCACGGCCCCGAATGCTGAGCACCTGCTCTGTGTGGAACAAACGCAATCACAGAAGTAAAGGGGGACATAAGGGCTGTGGAGAACATGAGAAGGAAGACAGGGAGGTTCGGGTCCTGAGGGGGTGGGAAGCTCGCCCTTTTATTTATTTATGTATTTATTTATTTTTTAATTTTAAGATTTTATTTATTTGTCAGAGAGAGAGCACAAGCAGGCAGAGAGGCAGGCAGAGGCAGAGAGAGAAGCAGGCTCCCTGCTGGACAAGGAGCCCGATGTGGGGCTCGATCCCAGGACCCTGGGATCATGATCTGAGCTGAAGGCAGTGGCTTAACCCGCTGAGCCTCCCAAAGCTCTCCCTTTTAAAGGGGAGCTCAGGAAAGACCTCCCTGAAACGGCGCGCCTTCGGAGCGGAGCATCGAGGAGTGAGCGGGCAGCCCCACCGACCACTGCGGACAGGTTGGTCCCGAGCAAAGGGCGAGGCTGACACCAAGGCCCCACGGTGAGGACACGCCTGGTGCTCCTGGAACAGTGAGGAAGCCAGGGTGATGGGCACCAGCAGATAACAGGGGGAAATGGGGGTGGGATGCGGGGAGCCCTGGGAGCTCTGTTGGGGCTCTGATGTGGACTCTGAGTGAGGCCTGAGCTATTGTGAGAATGCGCTTCCCAGAGCTCCAGCGGCAGGAACCAGGACGGACCAGAGGTCCCAGCTGCCGGGCTCTGGAACCCATCATCATGGGTGCCTGGAGGCCAGAAGCCCTGTGCACAGTGGGCATGGCAGCGCGGCCCCCTGCCCCGGGGGACAGAAGACGACTCTGCCGTGGGCACTCCCCGGCCTTGCTGAGCCTTTCCTGCACAGTGTGGCCTCGGGGCCGTCCTTCCCACTTTCCTCACTCAGGACCAGCTCTGTTTTCGTCCCACAGCTCACCTAGGCTTCCCCATTTCCTCTCCTGAGTGGTTTCCCTTATTAGACCATGTCAGGCTCGCCCCAGCTTGGTGGCTGCTTCTCGGAGAACCAGGAATCAGCAAGTGCTCTGAGCATAGTCTGTGGTTGAGCAAAGTCACTCTGGCTGCTGCCCAAGGACAAGGGTAATAATAAGCCAGCGAAGGGGGGGCGGTGCGGTGCGGTGCAGTCAGTTAAGCATCCGACTCGGTTTCGGCTCAGGTCCAGATCTCAGGGTTGTGAGATCAAACCTTTCATCCAGCTCCATGTTCAGTGCAGAGTCTGCTAAAGTTTCTCTCTCTCTCCCTCTGCCCCTCCCCGTACTTGCTCTCTCGCTCTCTCTGTCTCTCAAATAAGTAAGTAAATCTTTTTTTTTTAAGATTTTATTTATTTATTTATTTGGCAGAGAGAGAGATCACAAGTAGGCAGACAGACAGAGAGGGGAGGGGAAGCAGGCTCCCTGCTGAGCAGAGAGCCTGATGTGGGACTCGATCCCAGGACTCTGTGGCCATGACCTGAGCTGAAGGCAGAGGCTTAACCCAGGCGCCCAGTAAGTAAATCTTTAAAAAAAAAATAGGCCAGGGGTGCCTGGGTGGCTCAGTCAGTTAAGCGACTGCTTTCAGCTCAGGTCATGATCTTAGAGTCCTGGGATCGAGCCCCATGTTGGGCTCCCTGCTCAGTGGGGAGTCTGCTTCTCTCTCTGCCCCTGCTCATGCTCTTTCTCTCTCTCAAATAAATAAATAAAATCTTAAAAAAAAAAAAAAAAAAAGAAGGCCAGCTGATCAGAAATAAATTGCGGGACTCCAGGCAAGAAACGGCTGGGGTGGCTCCCACCAGTGTTAGGGCAGGAAGGGTGGGGAGCGGTGGGAAGGGATATGTTTTGAAAAAAAAAAAAAAAAAAAGATGTGCCGGCAGATCAGATGTGAGTAGCGATAGAGGGAAGGAAAAGACCACTTCAGATGCTTGGCCTGAGCAACTAGAAGGATGGAGCAGTCAGTCCCTTGCAATGGGGACTATGAGTAGAGGCCCCTTGGTGGGTAAAGAATTGGAGGCAGGTCTGAGAGTGAAGCCAGTGACTTGAATGGAATGACTCTGGTGTTTAGAGGACGTGTCTGGCTGGAGACAGAAATGTGGGAGTTGTCAAAATATTGATGGTCTCAAACCTTGAGGTTGAATGAGATCCCCAGGGAAGGGATGGAGGTCAAAGAGGAAGGGTCCCAAGACTGGACTCCAGTGTTTAGAGGTCAGAGTTCCATTGGTTCCTAGAACCAGTTGAAGGAAGCTAAGGAGGCCTGGTGGTGAATCGGGCGCAGGGGCATCAGGAGGGTGTGGAATGTTCCAGAAACAAGTAAAGAAAGTGCATCAAGGAGGGGAGAGAGGTTGATAGTGTCAGAAGCTGCTGATCCATCAAAGAAGATGAGGGCCAGGAACTGACTTTTGGATTTAACAATGTGGAGGTCGAAGGTGACCTTGAGAGAGCAGATTTTGATGAATACTTGGACAGAAAGCCCAAATGAATGGGTCAGAAAGGAGAGAGAAAAGCTGAAGACAGCAAGTTATGACATTTCTCTTATGAGTCGTGGAGAAAGTTCAGGGTCACTGGAGAGGGATGTGGGCTCGAGAAATACAGGATGGAAGAAATTGTAGCATGTTTGCAAGTTGTGAATGCAATATTCTATTGTTAAGTCCTATTTCACAGATTATGGAGCCAAGACTCAGAAAATTTAAGTAACACAATCTGTGAGCAACAGAACGAGGCTTTGAACCCCAGTCTGTTTGACCCACTACAAATCCATGCTCCTTAATAGATCACGTTTAAAAAACAAATTAGAGTGACACAACTTTTTTTCATGTCACAATATATCATGAACATTTTCCCATATGAATAAAAAGTAAAATCTGACACAACTAAAAGGAGAAATAAACAAATCTGTAATCATATGGACAGACTTAACTCACTTCTCTTAATACCTGATTGACCAAAAAAAAAATCAGTAAGGGAATGAAATATTTTAAACAACATGATCAACAAACTTGACCTAATTGACTGGCACCTGGTAGCTCAGTCAGTTAAGCATCTGCCTTTGGCTCAGGTCGTGATCTCAGCATCCTGGGTCCTGGGGTCAAGGCACGGATCAGGCTCCCTGCTCAGCGGAGTCTGCTTCCCCCTCTTACTCTGCCCCCTTCCCTCGCTCATGCTCTCTCCTCCTCTCTCTCAAATCAATATATAAAATCTTAAAAAAAACAAACAAAACCTTTACCTAATTGATATACATAGAACATTTAGTCAGCCATGCCCAGTGCAAGCTTTTTGCAAGTGTGCACGAAATACACACTGAGCCACAAAGCAAGTTTCAAGACTTCAAAGGGTTAAAATCATACTGAATATATTTTCTGATCACAGTGGAATTAGCAAGAAATAAAAAGCAGAACAATGACTAAAAAGTAATTAAACATTTGAAAATGAAGCAAAACACTTTTATTTTTTTTAAAGATTTTATTTATTTATTTGAGAGAGAGACAGTGAGAGAAAGCATGAGCAAGGAGAAGGTCAGAGAGAGAAGCAGACTCCCCGTGGAGCTGGGAGCCCGATGCGGGACTCGATCCCGGGACTCCAGGATCATGACCTGAGCCGAAGGCAGTCGTCCAACCAACTGAGCCACCCAGGCGTCCCAGCAAAACACTTTTAAACAACCCACGGGGGCAAGGAGGAACTCTCAACAGAAAATTTAAACTGAAAGTTGGTGAAAAGAGGATGTATCAAAACTTGTGGGGTGCAGCTAAAGCTGTAGTTAAAGGGAAGTTCATAGCCTTTGATGCACAGATTCAAAAAGAAGAAAGATAGAAAAATCAATGATCCAAGGATCCTTCCAAAGAAAGTAGAGGTAGAAGATACAAAAACCCTTTTCTGGAGGCTGGGAACAAGACAAGGATGCTGTCACCCTTCCTACTCATCGTCAGACTGGAGGTCTGAGGCAGTGAGGGAAAGGAAGAGAAAAGAAATAAAAGCATGAGGATTGGAAAAGAAGAAATGAGACTTCCCTTATTCATGGATGATGTGAATAGACTGGGTTCATAGAAAATCAAAAGGGATTTGCAGAGACCTATTAGGATTAATGAATGAATTCAGCAAGGTCACTCCATATAAAGTCGATATACAAAAACCAGTCATATGCCTACATACCAGCAATAGACAACCAGAAAATAAACTTGAACTGGGGTCGATAGTTGTATCCTCAATCCCTAATATGAGTATCAATGAGGTAACAGGTGTAAACTCCTACCGCAGTGCCTGGCATGTCGCAGGAACTTGACAAAGCCTCCTGATGCCATCATCCCTGTCATTAATGTCATTCTTAACTGTTCCCTTTGTGCCTCCTTTCTTGTCTCGGGATCTCTTAAAGCTGCCCTTTAACTCTGCAGGGAAGTCAAGCCTTTTCCCCACATTCCACAGGAGTCTGCCCAAGCCTCAGAGAAGTCTAAACACACGCAGGAAAGATGTTCCAAGCAGAAGTGAGTCTCTTCCATTAAAATACGCTCTTGTAGGGGTGCCTGGGTGGCTCAGTCGTTAGGCATCTGCCTTTGGCTCGGGTCATGATCCCAGCGTCCTGGGATCGAGCCCTACATCAGGCTCCCTGCTCAGTGGGAAGCTTGCTTCTCACTCTCCACTCCCCCAGCCTGTGTTCCCTCTCTCACTATCTCTCTCTGTCAAATAAATAAAATCTTTAAAAAAATATATGCTCTTGTAGGGGCACCTGGGTGGCTCAGTGGGTTAAGCCTCTGCCTTCAGCTCAGGTCATGATCTCAGAGTCCTGGGATTGAGCCCCGCTCGGGATTGATCGGGCTCTCTGCTCGGCAGGGAGCCTGCTTCCTCCTCCCCCTCTGCCTGCCTCTCAGCCTACTTGTGATCTCTCTCTCTCTCTCTCCATCAAATAAATAAAATCTTTAAAAAAAACTGCTCTCGTAGAAGAGTATTTATTCATGTAGAAAGATGCTCGTGAGATATTGTAACATGAACAAAAATAGCTGTACTACTCCAAAAAGAAAAAAAAAAGTGCTTGTGAGTGTGTGTATGGGTCTTTTTGTGCATATTTATAGAAAAAAGACTGGAAGGTATAGAAGTCAGTGTTACTAGTATTTATCCTGGAAGAAGATAGGCTTAGGATGATGGTTATTTTCTTTATATATATGCGTATGTATATGTATATATATAATATGTGATATAGATAGATCGATCTATCTATATATCTATAGTTCTACAATATATCTGTCTATATCCCATATTATATATATGTGTGTGTGTATATATATATATATATATATAGAGAGAGAGAGAGATATCTCACGTGTGTGCCCGTGTGTGTTTGTGGAGAGAGAGAAATGTTTTTATTCAACAGCTGACACCAGAAGTCCTCACATGAAAAATACCATGAGTTGCTGGGAGAGAAGAGGGAATATGGGGAAGTCTGAGGCCACGTGGGAAGCAGTGGCTGGTGGAAATTCCCAGGGACGGAGGGGAAGGTTGTCTGAGGGCTGGCCGCGTTATGTTCTGTTTGGAGTTGTTGGTGTTATAGCGACAGTCCCTTTGCCTCCTCCCCATCGGTCCCCACCCTCAGTAAACACCCATACCCCGTATGCCCCGTGTGTGGACTCAAGTTTCATGTATGTCTGGGTGGTGAGGACAGGAACAGTGACAGCACAGACAGGCAGAACCCTCATGCAGGGGGAGCCCTCGAACATGCCCCTGGGGAACCCACACGTCCCCAGCAAGACTTGGCACCTGCCAGGTAAGGAGCCCAGTTCCTAACCTGTTGATTCTAGATCTCACAGAGTTAAGACCCCAGCTGACACGGGGTGGCATTCATTCTTCACCTTCTCTACAGTGAGCGCATGCTCCTTGCAGAACTAAAATAGGACTGGAAAAGAATGTTTGTCCCCCTCGCAGCCGCTGGGCCAAGGGGCCGTGTCCCGGCCAGTGGGCGGGCTCACACCCAGCGCACCAGGCTGAGCCTCCCCCAGGTAAACACCAAGACAGATGCAGTGACAGGAAATGCTTATGACCTGGCATCCCAGGCCCCTGTCTCTGGTTGAGTTTAAGGACAGAAAAGAAGGGAGCACCTGGGTGGCTCAGTGGGTTAAGCCTCTGCCTTCAGCTCAGGTCATGATCTCAGGGTCCTGGGATCGAGCCCCGCATCGGGCTCTCTGCTCAGTGGGGAGCCTGCTTCCTCCTCTCTCTCTGCCTGTCTCTCTGCCTACTTGTGATCTCTGTCAAATAAATAAATAAAATATTTAAAAAAAAAAAAGGATAGAAAACAAGGTTGCGTGTGGGGGGGGGGAGGCGTGAAGAATTGAGAAGCATCAAGTGTGTTAGGGCTCGTGATGGTGCCTGACCTTTTCCTCTCTCTGTGATGTTTTGTTGTTGCTGTGATGTTGCTTGTGTAATCAAAACAGGAAGGGGCTGGTGAGCTGCTCAACATCATTAGGTCGGATGGCGAAACTTCGGTCATCCCTCGCCGCCCCTTGTTCCAGAAGTGGAGGGGTGAGCCAGGGAAGGGGGCCCAGGGGCACCTGCGTGCCTGCGGGGGGCCAGGGGCCACACACGTGTTCATCTTCATAGAAATTCCACCAGGTGGGAATGCTTGTCCCCAGTTTACAGACAAGAAACCAGAGGCTCGGAGTTTCACAGCGCTGGGACCTGACCCATCAGGGAGCCCAGCCCTGAGACTCACCGTGTAGACAGACTCGTCCAGAGGCTGCTGCTGGCTGCGGGCGCCTGGGTCCGAGCCCTTCTGGGCAGGCTGCTTCCGAGGAGTCTGCCTCCGTTTCTGTGAGGAAAGGAGTCAGGGCGGTCAGAGCCGGGGATGGGCGGCTCCCACCCCACAGACCCCCCAGGGCAGAGAATGGCCGGTTGGCAGGGGCCACTCAGCACCGCGTCCCCACCGTCCCCAAGGACGCGCGGCAAATGCCTCTGAGACCCACATCATGCCACTCATCTGTCTGCACAGACTGGAGGTGGGATTGCCCATGGTGGGTCACGGTCACGGTGACACGGGGACAGGGTGACAGGGTCCCCGGCAGCAGAGCTGACCATTAGGAGTGGTCCTGAGCGAGTGCCAGCCAGACCAGATGTCCAGTCTCCCTCTGCCCCTTCCCCTTTCTGGGCCTCACTTTCTTCAGCCAGAACCTTCCTTCGTGAGGTTGTCGCAAGGATTCAGGGAGGGGATGAAGGGGTAAGTGCTTGGCACTCAGGTGGCATGAGGTGGCCCTTGGCCAACCAACACACCCTTGTCAGCCACCTCTGGCTAGCCAGGTGCTGTGAAGAGGTGGACACCGGCCCTGCCTTCCTGGGACTGAGGACCTAATGGGGAGATGGACGATGAACCCCATTTGACTAAAGTGTGGCCCGTGTGCTGACCGAGAGGACAGAGCCCCTGGCACACTCTGGGGGACAAATGCCTCACCTGGCAGAAAGAGGTGTTTATTTATTTATTTGAGAGAGAGAGAGCAGGAGCTTGAGTGGGCAGAGGGAGAGAGAGGAACAGACTCCCTGCTGAGCAGGGAGCCCAACGCAGGACTCGATCCCAGGACCCCGGGATCATGACCTGAGCTGAAGGCAGTCGCTTAACTGACTGAGCCACCCAGGTGCCCCAGAAAGTGGTGTTTAAAACTTAAAGGCTGGGGCGCCTGGGTGGCTCAGTGGGTTAAAGCCTCTGCCTTCCGCTCTGGTCGTGATCTCGGGGTCCTGGGATCGAGTCCCGCATCGGGCTCTCTGCTCAGTGGGGAGCCTGCTTCCTCCTCTCTCTCTCTCTCTGCCTGCCTCTCTGCCTGTGTGATCTCTGTCTGTCAAATAAATAAATAAAATCTTAAAAAAAAAAAACAAACTTAAAGGCTGAGAAACTCCTTTGGCAAGATTGGGAGGGTAGGGAGAGGAAAAAAGCGTGTGCCAAGACTTAAAGGAATGGAGGAACCTAAAGAGGGTCAACTAGGGGGGGACCTAAACATTGACCTAAAGAGGGTCAACGAGGGGAGGTGGGGGGACCTCCCCAGACAGGGGGACCCAGCTGACAGCGTGGATGGCAGAAAGCAGCCGAGCTTCATGCAGGAGAGGCCAGGAGGGGCAAGTGTCAGGAAGCTCACGCTGGCCACAGAGGCAGGGGTGCTGGGCCCGTGGGGAGGCACCCGGCTCCGGGAGACAGGCAGCTCCTTCTGAGGCAGAGGGAGGCCACCCAGACGTCCCCCTCCTCGTAGGCACTGCTCTGCCAACCGCAGAGCCATGACAGCCTCATGGCAGGGCCGGGGCTAATTAAAACTCCTGGCCGCCTGCCCGTCCCCTGCCTGTGCTCGCAGGATTAGCTCTCCCAAGCTACTTCACCGTCAGGCAGAAGCCAGAACCACCCCGGTCACAGCCTGATCGGGGCCCAGGAGAGGGGGCTTCTCTGGATGCCAGCCAGGGCTCTCTCCAAACCCTCTCATGTACTTCTCCACAAACCTGCAAGGCAAGTCTTCACACCATCTCTGGTCTACACTTGAGGATGAGAAGGCTCAGAAAGGGCAAGAGACTTGCCTGAGGCCACAGAGCCCATTAGATAGGTGCTGGCCTCCACGTGGCACTTTACCGTGTACAAAAAACCCATGAGACATGTTCTTAGTCTCATTTAATTATCTTCATAGCCTGAGGAAGTAGACTTTACAGAGGGGTAAACTGAGGCCTGGCCAGCTAGTCGGATGGCTGCCTTTGGATGGAACCCAGCTGTCTTCTTCCAAGTCTAGTGTCCCTCCCCTGCACCACATGCTTCTGGAGGCGTCTGTCACAGTCAGAGGCTGTGGCTCACCTCAAGACGGCTGGGGGGCTGGTGCTTCTCCCCTGCACTGAGCCTGGTGGCCCGGACACTGTCAAGGCTGGTGGGTGTGAGCTCATGGGCAGGGGCTCTTCTGGACCCCGTGGTGAGTAAGACCCAGGCCCCGCCTTGTGGTGCTCCTACTGACACTGGTGGGGCTGCCGGGAGGTAAGTGTCACTGTGGGGCTGTGGGAAGGAACCCCACGACTGCCACAGGTCTGGGGCGGTCTTCTGAGCGCTTGCCCTATTCCCGAAAACAGAAGAGTCTGAGAAAGTATCGCAGGCCACAGGCCATGGGGACAAGACACCAGATCATATGGGGGCAGGAATGTCACACGTCAGGGACATCCTCAAGGATGGACCATCACATAGAAAGCCACCGATGGGAGTAAAAGGTGACAGCAGCCGAGCCGGGAGGCTGTTGAGGAGGGCACTGCCACAGAAGGCGTGATCCACCATGTCCTCCCTCGGAGGGCAGGGAAGCCATCAGATTTAGTAAGACCTGCATTTGGCTGCGAGCTGGGAGGGGCGGCAAGAGGAGGAGGCAGATCTCCAAGGGTGGTGCAGTGGCAGGGAGAGGAGGCCCGGGCTGTGGCCCACAGGGGGTGACAGTCTCAAAAAATCAGATGAGTGCGTTTTGTTGCAGGGGCGAGACGCTCGGCCCCTTGGAACCACCCCTGCCCTCCCCATGTGCCTTGTTCCCTGCCACTCGCATTTGCCCTTCCAACTGTGATCTGCAAACGAACAAACCAATCCATGTGGCCACCAGCAGCTCCGGAAACCTGTAGAGCCTCAGTTTCCCCCTCTGTACTATGGGAGTCCACCTCACAGCCTGGCCAGCTGCGACTCATATTCCAAGTCTCAGCGATCTCTTAACTAAGCCATCCCTCCCACGAGCACTTGATGTGTGTCAGGCTACCCAGCCCCCAACAAGCAGGGAGACCAAGTCCCTGCCTTCTGGGGCTTACGTTATGGTGGAGGAAACAGTGACAAAGACATAAGCACAGGTATGGAGAGCAGAGCTGGAGGGGACATGAGTGGGACAGGGAGACCTGTATTCGGGTAAGGAGTGACTGAGGGAAGCTCTGGGCTGGGGGCTGAGGCAGGCGAGAAGGGGCCGGATCCTACACAGACTGTGGGCAGGGCTTGCTGCGGAGGATGAGGGGGGAGCCACACCCAGCTCGGAGGCTTCTGGCCTGAGCGTCTGGGGACATGGTGCCATCTGCCTAGGCAGGACAGGCTTGGGAGCTACGAGTGGTGTCAGGAGCCGTGGGTGCGGATGCCATCGGGCTCACACCGTGGACGGGCTCTGGGGCTCAGGGAGGGGCCCGGGCACCATCCGTGTAGACAGAGCGGGGAGTGCTCCGAGGAAGGGGCCAGAGACTTGCCCTGTGTAGAGGCCACAAAGACGCAAGTGATCCGCACAGGGCTGCCCTGGGGGTCCAGGAAGCACGGGAAGATGTATGCAGTGGAGGAGGGTACCCTTAGGGGATGAGGACAGATAGGCCATCAAAGTCAGAGGCTGCCAGCCCTGGGAAGCCAGCCTTGATCCATCCCCAGGTCGGGGGTGGGGAGCCCTCTGGTTGCTCTCATGCAGGAATCATCTGCCTTTTCTGGGCCAGGAGCTCCGCTTCGATTCATTTATCTGCAGCCACCTGGGCTCCTAGGGTCCTCCGTGCCTCCCCTCCTGCCTGGCCTTCTCCTCTTGGCCCCCATGGCTGACTGCCTGGCCTGGCCACTGGCTGGGGTCCCCCCCTGCCCCCCATGCCCTGTTCTTTCACTCAGTTCAAACCACGCTTGCCTGTGAGGGGCAGGGGTCGGCCACGCGGAACGGCAGCCACAGACCCCGCACCTCAAATTTGGATCCAGTTCCAGGGAGCTCTGGGGACATCTCTGGCCTCTGGCCTTCTAATTTCTCTCTCTTCCAAGGCCAGGCTCCTGCACCAGCCCTTCCTCCCCCACGTGCAGGGAGGGAGGCCAGGAAGCATCTCCACACCGCCTTCCCACTGTGGGTCAGGCGCCCCAGCTGGCGTCTCCAAAATGCTCTCTTCCACCCTTCCCAGGTGAGGCGGGATCCATCCTCATCCCCGCTCCTGGAGGAGGAGAGCAAGGCTCAGAGAGGGCTGCAGCTTGGTGAGAGGGCAGGGGCTGCCTCTGTCTTGCTTTCCACTGTGTCTGGCACTTAGCCCGGTGCCTGGCACGTTCTAGATACTCGGGAGCTATTCCTGGAAGGAGAGAGAGGCTAGGAGTGGTTGAAGCCACGCAGGAGGGGGAGGGGCTGGGCTCGGAAGTGGGGCTGGGCTGAGTCTTACCCCCAACTCCCCTCTTCCCTGGACTTTACTGACCACCTACTCTGCTCTGGGTGCCTCCCTGACCTGGCAGGACCCTGAGCTCCACCCGTTACAATCCAGTATTTGCAGAGCAGCGGCTGGAGTGGAGGCTCAGGGTCAAGGTCTCGCCCTGACTCGGTTCTGACCCTCACCTGCTGGGCTTCCTGCCTGCAGAAGGCACCCATGCAGTCTCCCATACAAGCTGGTATGGGGGTCCACAGCCCGAGTGGGGGTCCTTCATCGCCCCTGCCCAACACACAGCCTCTGTGTCCACACCCACGTCCCACTAGACGCTCAGCTGATGTCTGCTGAGTGACAAGTCCAGAGCGTCCTACCTGCTGCCATCATGGGAAGAGCAGCGGGGGTGGGGGAAGGAATATACTGGGGGTAAGAGCCGAGCTGGGCGCACAGTAGGGGCTCAGCACATGTTGGTTGAAGGAGGGAAAGGGCCTAGTGGCGGGTGGGCCTCTCTCCTAAATGCAGGATTCATGGGAGGCCCAGGGAAGCATTTCCCATCGTCTTCCGTCTTCCCTGCTCAGTTGTCCCTGTGACCAGGCCGGAGGCAGGGGGCCAAGGGCCCTCAGAGGGGTCCTCGCCTCCCCGGGGACCTCATAGCAGAGCCTGCTCCTGGGTGCAACGGAGTGGACTCCTTCTGTGGCTTGTCAGCCGGATGAGCCAGATTAGGAATTGGTCACGCCAGGGTCATGCCCCACACCTGCAGATCACAGGACAGCAGAGGAACTAGAATGGTGGCTGAAGTTGTCACCAGGCTCCGGCTCCCAGATGGCAGGAAAGGCAGCCTCCAGAGTTTTAGGGACGGCCAAGTGGCCATGTTCACCTTCTTTTATCACCTTGGAGCCTTTTCTGGAGAGTGACCATGTCTCCAGCCCAAGGCAAAGTGGGAAACTGGGGCCGGGGTCCAAGCTTCCAACCTGCCTCGCTCGCCACTTCCCCAGAAGCCACCCTCGTCCCACCTCGGTCGCCTCTGCCTGGACTGCTGCAGTAGCTCCTCACCGAGTCTCCCCTCCCCCGCTTCTCACAGCTGCTGGAGGGTCCATCGGGGTCAGTCTAATCCTGCCTCACGTCTCCTGACGCCCTGCGGGGCCTCCCAGTTCACTTAGAGTAAACCCAATCAATGTGCCTTGCCTGACCTACATGGTCTCCATCCTCCCCCACTCTGCCCCTGAACTCAGGCGGCCCGGCCCACCCCGGGGCCTCTCTGCAGCTCCTGCCTCAGAGCACCCATACCTGCGGTTCCCCTGTTGCACACACTCTTCCTGACGTCTGCCCCCCCCTTCCTTCCGGGTGTGGTGTCGGGAGGCCCTCCCCAGCTCCTTACTGAAAACCACAATCTCCCTCCTTCCCACACTCACTACTCTCTGTTTTGCTGTGTTCTCCCCCAACACTCATCACATCCGTTGGCTATTTATTTCTCTGTTTGTTTAGGGTCTGCCTCCCCTCAGCTGGAATGCAAATCTGACGCAGGCAGGGATTTCTTGGGGACCGTTTTAGTCATTGCTATGGCCCTGGGGCCTCCACGGGGTCTGGAATCGAGTAGGTCCTCATGGGGTTGAATGAGCAAACGCATGAAATCCCGTCTCGGGGGGCCCTTCCCTGGGTGTGGATGGGGACTGGCAGGGTGCAGGGGCTGAGCCTCTCTTGACCCGAGAATCCCCCATGGTGGTGCAGAACCCTCTTCCCACACTCAGGGCCTTCGCTGATGGGGCTGCTCCCCAGACTTGCCCCCGAAGGCAGGCAAGGAGTCGGAGAGCTCCTGGTCCGGAGAGGACAGAGCACAGGCCCGAGCTGTTCTGAGGCAGGCCTTCAAGGAGCCAGGACAGAGGGTCTGAATTGCAGGCTGGGGCCCTGACCACCATCTTTGCCCCCCCCCCCCCCCGCCCCACCCTGAGCTGGGCAGAACCTGGCACCCACTGGGAAGGCATTCTACCGCCCAAGAAACATCTACTGAGCACGCGAGGGCCTGCACAGAGCCACGGAGACAAACTCACTGTGGCCTCTGTCCTCAGGGCACTTACGGAACCAGCCCCCCAGGACTGGGTGACAAGGAGAGTGACAAGAGCCCACGGGGGAGACAACCCTCCCTGTGTTGGTGCCACCACAGCCCGAACAGGACTCAGCCGGGCGCAGACCTGGACCAAACACCCCATCCACCTGCCACTCCAGCCCCCGCCCCTGCCACAGGCTTGCCGGGAGACCTCGGCGAGCCACCACCTCTCTGGGCCTCGCTTTCCAGAGTTGTAAAATGGGAAGAAACGTCCCTCGCAGAGCTACGGTGGGACACAGAGGGGAGGGCAAGGGTGCCTGGTAGACAGCGGCTGTTAGGAAACGCTTCCTCCTCCCTTCCGGGGTGCTGGGGATCCGGGAAAACCAGGACAGTGTTTCCGACTCAAAAGAGCCAGAAATGAGGCCTGAGCCTTGCACCGAAACACCCGGGAGGACCTGTGACCTAGAAAAGGCGGGTGGACCCTGGTTTTGTGCAAGATCCAAGGGGACCTGGCGTTGGCAAGAGTGCACCCCGGGCCCAACTGTGGAGGTGAGCGAGGAGGGGTCCGGGTGCAGGGAGGCCACAAGGAAGACTACGGCCGGCAGCCCTCACCAGGGCCCCTGGGACGCCGTGCGGGGCGGGCGGGCGGCCCCTCTGCTCCTTGGGAAGCTCCCGGAGCCACAGCAAAGGGCCCGGACGGGCAGCGTGCCGTGTGTGAGGATCCCCTACCTTCTTCCAGAGCAGCAGGGCTGTGACCAAGACACTCAATGCGGTCAGGAGGCCCGTGAAGCCGGAGAGCAGGAGCAGCCGGGAGTCCTGCGCGGGGGCTCGGTACCCTGCGTCTGGGAGGAGGGCAGGGAAGCAGAGGGTTAGTCCCCCGAGAGAGGCAGGGGTACACCCCACCCCCCCAACCCCCAGGCTCCCCACTCCTATGTTCTTCTTTACCCAGGACGCCATGAGCCCCCCAGACCCCCGCGGCCAGCAAGGTTCTCATTCCCACGCCGGCTTTGGCCACACCCCTTTCTTGGTTGTCAGCCTTGATTCTTGTCAAGGGCAAGGAACCCATCTTTTGCTTCTTGAGTCACCTGCCTCGGGGTGAATCGGCTCCCCTGAGAGCTGCCTGTGGGACCCTGGGCGAGTTGCGACATCTCTCAAGGCCTTCTGTGCTCCGCATGAGGAACGGCGGCCACAGGGACAGGTGTGATGGGGCGGGGGTGGTGGTGGCCTGGGCCTAGCAGGCGACTGGCCTTCACCAGGGGCAGGTGAAGGGCCCAGCCCGGCCCCTTCCCTTGGGCCATCCCTCCTTTTATGTCTCCCTCCCTTCCTCCCTCCCTCCCTCCCACCATCTGCCGGCAGAAAGGGCCAGGTGCCAACCACGTGCCAGGTACGTCCATGTCTGTTATTAATCAAACATTTCCTAGTAGCAGACACCAGCCCTTGCACTCAGGATCCCGTTCATCCCCATAAAAGCCCTCGATGGACAGGGTGTTGCCACAAGCCCGGGCCCAGAGCCACAACCGGGCCAGCCAGCTCCCTGAACCCCCGCAGCTCCTGGTGGGAAGCACGGACGCAGGTCAGAGCCTCATGGCTTTGCCGATGATAATTTTCAGTCATCACTCCTTCGGGGATGTGATGAAACTAGGAACCTTTCCCAGAAATACCTACTTGAGCCAAGTGCTGCCACAGACATACACATGCATGAGCCCAATCGTGTACTCAGCCTCCGACACCCTCCCACCCCCCCAACACACTTGGTGCTGCAGCGATGCTGAGACCAGCACGCCAGGGACTTCTCTTGGGCACCTGCCAGAGGTGGCTGGAGGCACAGCCACGACCCAGGCTTCTGTCCTTCCCAAATCAAGGTAGACGTCGGCACACCTGCGTGCGTGGTCAGGGGCTCCCTGAGGACACGGTTGCCTCTTACCCAAGCTGATCAATGAGACAGATATTCCCCTTGATCAATGAGACAGCTTTATTTATTTATTTGTTGGTTTATTTCTTGTTGATTTTTTTTTGTAGCAATCTCCATGTTTCTTTCTCTTTTTTAAATTTTTTTTCAGTGTTCCAAAATTCATTGTTTGTGCACCACACCCAATGCTCCATGCAATACGTGCCCTCCTGAATACCCACCACCAGGCTCACCCCAGCCCCCACACCCCCAAAACCCTCAGTTTGTTTCTCAGAGTCCACAGTCTCTCATGGTTCGTCTCCCCCTCTGATTTCCCCCAACTCCCTTCTCTTCATCTCCCAATGTCTTTTGTGTAAGATTTTATTTCTTTATTTGACAGAGAGAGACACAGCGAGAGAAGGAACACAAGCAGGGGAACCCTCTGGACCCTGCAGGAAGCCTCACCTCTGACCAGGATGAAGACGCCTTGGCTGATTATTTTCAAGTCCTGCCAGTCCACGGAGCAGTAGTAGGTACCAGTGGCCGACGCGTTGGGCAGCGTGGGGGTGACCCGGCATTGCAGGGTGTGCGTCTGGTTCTCTTTGGCCAGGTCGGGTGAGCATTTCATCTGCTCCCTGAGGCTCTCCCGTTTCTGGAGGTCCACGTGAAAGTACTGGGTTGTGAAGTCCCTGAATTTGGGGCTGTCCGGGTACGTGATTCTGCAGTCGAAGGAAATGGCCTTGTTGGCCAGAGAGACCAAAATGGGGGCACCAATTTGGGTCACGGACTGCCCTCCTGCAGGGGAAGAGAAAGCAAAGAGTGGGAGCTTACCCTCTGGGTGGCTTCAGTCCTTTGTACCTCCTCCCGAGGACCTCAGCTCACGTTCACACTCACACCGTCCATGCAGGTGCTGTGTGCGGGCCTTGTGCCAAGTGTCTCACACATAGAACTCTCCATCTCCCGACACACCCAAGGCGAAGTGTGTAAGAGCTCCACTTCACAGAGAGGAAGAGTCCGAGGGTCAGGCAGGTCAAGCTGCTGGCTTTCACTCTCTCAGCAGGGATGGCGTGGAGCTACAACCCTGCCCAAGGCGGGCAGACTCCAGCCCCCACAGCCCTAACTGCTCTCCTGATCAAAGGCCAAGAAGCCACATTGGATAAAAGCACCAGCCTGAGAAGACCCAGAGCTGCTGGAGAATGAGAAGTAAAGAGGAGGGAGGCAGGAGACAAGACAAATAAATGCTCCCTGGCAGGAAGAAGAGCTTCCCGGCAGTGGACCCCCGGAGGGGAGCCAGGGTTCTCCCCAGCCCGGAGGAGGAGCCATGCCAACCATCAGGAGAGAATAGCCTTGCCCTGAATCAGAGCTCGGAGAAGCATTTGTCAAGTTTCTATGGACAGTAACAAAAAATGCCCCGAGAGCAGCTTTCCAGCAGCACAGAGGGAGCCGTTTGGGCCACGACCAGGATGTCTGATGACCGTTACAAAGGCAGGTGTCTGTGCGAGCCTCCTTCCTGGACACCTGGACACCCCTCCTCATCACAGGCTCCGAGGAAAACACTGGCACCTGCCGGGCTGGGCCTCCCACCCTCCCACAGTCTCCGGGCCCGAGCAGCAGGGGTCCCCTCGCACCCCCAGACATCAGCACACAAGCCCCCGCCGATTCAGCATGCCTCGTCCCCTAGCCCCTTCCTTCTCCAGCAGCTGAACGGACAGTTCTAAACTGAGGTCGGCAGGAAGCAGCCAAGAACACGCCGGCCGGGCTGTTCATTGGGAGAAGATCACACATTGGAGTGACTCAGAGGGCTCAGAGGGCCGGCCAGGTGTACTTTTCTGGCGGAGGGCAAGGCGTGGGCCCCCGGGGCACCGGGGTGTGGGGCTGGCATGAGGCCAGACTGGACTGGTCTCTGGGCTCTTCTGATGAGCCCAGCGCTGGGTCCCCAGGGGAGGTGGGGCCAGGGCTCTGGAAGACTTGGGGACAGGACAGAGGGGATCCTCTCAACTAGCCAGTCCCTCGGAGCTCCCACCGCGTGGTTATTTTGAGCTTCGTGCTGAGTCACTGAAGAGTTCGTCCCTCCACCAAAGAGCAAAAGGCGGTGACAGTTCCAGGGACCAGGCTGGATGTCTAGGGGACTGAGGGGACCGGCTTCGCTGTCCTGCATGACTATGACAGTGGTCACACCTGGAGAAGACCCAGGGTTCTCCTCCACTGTGCGGGATGGGAAGGATTTCACGGGTCCTTGGTGTCACTGGGCGTGCCAGTGGGGTTGCCGTTGTGGTTTAATGACAACGCTCTGTACTGTCGTAAGAAGGAGGAGCTCAGATTCAGGCCCGAAGTTCCCCTGACACATGGCAGCCAGGGCAGAGGCGCGGTGGGCGGAGGAAGGGGTCATGGCATCATCCCAGGTAAGGACAAGGGGCCAGAGGGTTGAGACAGACCTGGTTTGCCCTGCCCAGCAAGGCCATGCTGCATGCAGGCCGTGGCCATGCACCCCCCCACCAAAGGGCCACTTCCCACGCTGCAGCTACCCCTGCACGCCCTTCTGGCTGGGATTCCTACCCAGACCTCCAGACTCAGCTCAGGACCCCTCTGACTTCTAGCTGCATTCTCCTATTTGGCTCTGCAGGCGGCCAGTCCTCCCTGCTGGGGGTCGGGAGGTGGGAACCTGGCCAAAACCACCAGGAAAGTGGCCACACCAGGGCTGGTACGGAGGGCTTTCCCCTCCCCCCACTTCAGACACCTGCTTCTCACCCCAGACCCAGAGGGGCTCTGGTGGGACCCTCGCAAACCTTGCAGGTTGCCCCCCAAGTGCACAGGGCTGGTTCTATGAAGAACCAGGAGTTGGTTCTGACTGTGAGTGACCATAAGGCACAGGGGCTGGGAGAGCCCAGCCTGGCTTGGTTTTCTCTCCAGGTGCCAGCAGACATGTCCCCAAGACAAAAGACCCAAAAGGGCTACAGAAGCGACAGGAACTTGCTCTTCGTATAATTCTCTGGGAGGCGGGTGAGTCCTCAGCACAGCCTAGGCCAGGACAGGTACAGGGAGGAAAGCATTGCCAGGAGCCTGGCTTGTTTTCTGCGGGGAGATGAATTCGTCCAACTTGCAGATCCCCTCTGCCCGAGAGGGCGAAGGGCCTGGAGGTGGCCGTGTGGAGGGAGGGCAGAGATGGGGCAGCCCTGAGGAGGGGAGGGGAGTGGAGAGGCGGGATCTCCCACCTGCCCCAGCACCTGCTCTTTCCAGCGCTGGTAGGAGAGGAAGAGAAGGGAGCGGGAGGAGCCGGGAAAACTCAAAGGGCAGTTCCAGGGGGGGCGCGGGGCTGCCTTTCCCCAGTGACAAAAAAGGGGCAAGGAAGTTAGAGGAGTCCCAAGTCCTCGCTGAATCTAGAAAAGCAAACGCCAGACTGGCCCTTCTGCCTAGAAAGTACCAGGCCCACAGGGCAGGGCACACGCGGCCTGGGGTGGCCTCCACAGGACAGCCTGTCTACCGCCTCAGGCCTTGGCCCTGGGCTGGACACGGGGGAATGGGGGACTCCCTGGGGTGCAGACCCAAACCTGGGACGCCAGGCTCCCCTGCGGGGTGGCCAGCATAGCAAGCAGAGAGAACCCTCCCCCCAGCAGCGGCCTCCTCCTGCTCTCTCCGCTTACTCCTTATCTGTTGCCCTTGTTGGGAAAGATTTTGTCTACTGCCCACTTTTTGAATCTGTGGCCACTTGCACAGTGGTCTTGAGAGCGGTAGGGAGGGGCCCCAGTCCTACCCTGGCCCAGGGACCCCATGCCAAGTCCCTGGGGGGAGGGATTCACAATCAAAGAACTTGGCTGGGTGTAGAAAGGATGCCCCTCCATCTGCCCTCCCCACCCCCTATACAGGGCACCCCGCACTGCAGCCCTGCTCTGGAATCTGGACTCCCCTCCCAGCACCCCGCCCCGTATCCCCACCCCAGGCAGAGAGCTGCCTGGAGCTGCTCCCCAGGGAACCACAGACCACCTTGCTGACTGACCCTGCTGCAGTGCCCCCCACCCCAGAGGAGACCCAGGAAGGAGTCTGAAATCAATTTACACGGTGAGGACAAGCAATTTAAAAAAATAGAACCTTGCAGCATTTTGTGCGTAATGACGGCGCTTTTCGTGAACTTTTGGTTTCAGTTACAGTCGCACAACTGGGTTTAGACAGGGTCGTGCTCTAACATGCATCCATTTGCTTTGGGTCACCTTTAAAAAAAAATTGCAAGTTCTTGGGCTGGAGGATCCAGTCCACGATTCCGGGCCCTACGCAGCCCAGCTGAGCTGCCAGCTGAGCTGCCCTCCATTCACTCCCCCGCGGACGCCAGGCCTGCCTGGCCGTTCCTCTTGCTCAGAATGCCATCCTGTTCCCTTCCTCTCCCAGAATTGGGGGTCACCCTCTCCGTCTGCAGGACTCCCTCTGCCCCACACAGACTCTTGGGCGGGCGTCGCTGTGAAGCTGTGTGATGACAACGCGTTACTGCGGGGCCGGGGACGGGGGGGGGGGCACACTCCCCTTTTGCACAAACCCGAGGCTCTGAGAGAGGAAGAGGTTTGCCCAGAAGCACAGCTAGTCAGAGGCGGGGATGGGATTGTAAACGGAGTCCCTTTGGGTCCTTAACTCCAAATTCTTCATCACTGCCCTATGCCACAATTTTAAAATCTGGGAGCAAGACAAAGAAAACATCTCTCAAATGAAAGGATTGCACCTTTTTTTTTTTTAAGATTTCATTTATTTATTAGACCGAGAGAGACAGCACAAGCAGGGGAGCCACAGGGAGAGGGAGAAGGAGAAGCAGGCAAGGGGCTGAGCAGGGAGACCGATGCGGGGCTGGATCCCAGGATCTTGGGATCATGACCTGAGCCAAAGGCAGACGCTTAATGACTGAGCCCCCCAGGTACCCTGAGCTGCACCCCTTTAAAGGGAGCTACAAATTCAGAGGCCATTTTTCTAGATTTGGGTCATCTAATAGACATGTCATCTGGCAGGATATGGGGACAAAGGTCCTCACCAGAACAGCCCCTGCCGCTTTAGAGGGACAGCTACTGTCATCCAGCTCAAGATCTGCAGCTCCCAGAGCAGAAGCATGTGGTCCCACAAACCGTGTACAGACAGTCCCGTATCAGCGCCAACCGAGTGCCCAAAGGGCCAGCCAGCGTCCCTCCTTCACTGCAGCAATGACATCCCCCCAGCCCCGGCATCGGGCCCTCCCTCCCTGCTCTCCCCAGCTGCCCTGGCCTCCTCGCAGCCCCTCTGACCCACCTGGCCCAGACCTTGCCCCAGCTGTCCACTATGCCTGGAACTCGATCCCTTCTGTGGCCCCCAGCCTCGGCAGCCAAGGGGTGAGAGTCCAGACGTGCTGATCAAAGGTATCCATCCCCACTTCGGTCGATTTTAAAGGAAAGTACTTTGATTCTCCAGCTACAGAAGAAAGCAGTTCCCACGGTCTTTATTTTAGGCATGGAGTTTCACCCTCTAATTTAATTCTGGCATCTCTCAGAGCCATGCCATTTTTTTTTTTTTTCCTTTAAGGCCCATGTGAAGGGCTGCTGGGAAGCCACAGACGTGGGGCTGCTGGCTTTATCACAGGGCTCTGGCCATTTGCCTGAGCACGAATCCCAGGACACCACCGAAAAACGGGGGAGTCCTTCAGGACCCGTGCATCAAACAACGGCGCATGGCCAAGTGGCTGATTAGGGAAAAGCGTGTAGCAGGTCTTGGAAGGCAACCTTTGAACAGAGAGTGTGTACTCTGAAGCTTTTAGCGCTGGTGCCCTCGGAACGCTGCCATCAGACCGG